ACATGTTTTTCTGCCTGGTACTCCAGTGTCCCATTTAGAAGAACATTACATGGGCACAGAGGCACATTACCATGGTAGAATGATTTATGGGGCTCTGTACTATTCACTTTTTTAGAAGATAACGTCTTTGAGAGCAACAGAAGAAATATCTTCTCACTTCAGAATAGCTGTGCTTCCCATAATCAACTAAATTGCATAGCATTTTAAGTACATCATCTTATGTAAACAAACAATGATTTGTGTAACTGATTATACATCTTGTTTTTTTAATATTTCTACTCTGATTATTCTCCAATGTTTGTCTAGTATAACATTTGTAGAATGTCAGTGTTTTTCAAAAATTACTTTCAGATTAACCAACATTTCTCATTCTGCTGCTATAGAGAAAATCAAATACAGCTTTAAATAAATATAACTATAAACAAAAATAGAAACTTGACACTTTCAAGTCTCCACTATAACCTGGAGATTGGGTTCTCTGTATATATAAGTTAACGATAAAGCCAAACTTCCCCAGTATATGCACAAAGTTTGTCTCAATGGCTCAAAATGGATCCTTTTGAATAACTATCTCTTTCTCAAGTAAATATACTCCTGCTTTAGACAACTTAAGATATGCCCTACGTTTATTTTATTTTTTTAATCTGCTTTCCTAAGATTTCTGAACAAATTGATCCAATAAAGTAGAAGTTTTACTTGTATCCAATAAATTCAGGAAGGATAAAGGTCGAAAGCTCTCAAGAAGACATTCATCCCCAACATCGTAAAGATTGATAGCACCTCTGGTAGTCAGCCAGAGGTAAACATTTGCTATAATTGATAGCAAGCAAAAGATTGTCTTACTCCCCTGTTATCAATTATAGACACTGTCTTTGCAGATCAGAAGGTTTATATTATTTCTGCAAGTTTTTTATGGTTCCATGAGCAAAGATATGTCTGTTCATTTGATATTTTTCACTCCATCTCAGTCGTTCCAAGTGACTCATACCTCAAGATTTATAATATGAATTATAAAATCATTCACCTTGAATGAGAATTAGTTTATACTAGCCACCATATTAACCTCAAAATCTTCCTCTTCTCTTCTGTTTCACCACCAGACAATTCTTTTGATATTTCTCTCTTGAGGAAACCATTGTGACTCACAGCTTTTTGATCTCACGAGAAATGAATAATAGGCTGAATATTAGCCACCTCCAAAGCATTAGTGGGTCATTCTCCTGTGCTGCGAGTCAGCTTCCTTCCCAGTGTGAAGAATCTTATATATGCCTTTGTTTTTGAGAGGAGTGTTTACAGAAATGGAGACTAAGATCTCTGAATTTCTTCTCCTAAAAATGTACATCCTATGACTGAATAGACAGGTAAGAGAGATGCTGTCATATTACAAAATCGCCCCATTGTGGTGGCTTCCCTCTCTTCATCCCTCTCAACTTCCTTTCAGTTTCTACCCTTCTGTAAAATATTTATGTCCAAATTTTTTTTTTTCTGAAATAGCTTGTCCTTTTCTCTTCTACATCATCTCTCCCCTGTTCTCAAATTTCAATCACTAAGGTGTACTATGTCTTAAATGCACGCACTCCTTTAGCACTTTTGTGTTCTTAGTGTAAGAATTGCTCAAGATTCGTGTGTTTCTATTATACCCTCCAACTTGCAGATTTTATTTTCCACTGCGCAAAGCAGAAATTTGGTCTCAGATATTTCCTTCCTATTTTGAAACCAGATTCTGTTTTAAACCAGAGGAATGGAATCCGAAGCCTTGATTTCCATTGTTCTGATGTTTCCTTTGTTCTCACTTTCCTCCCTATTCTAAGTCTCCTGCCCATAGGTGGGGAGAGACTATGCTCAGATTCTAAAAGATAATAGCCCCATGCCAAAGAAGCTGGTGGCAATGAGCTCTGAAATAGAAGTAGTCAAGGACTGGCTAGGTTGTTTGTAAAAATAAGACAGAGAACTAGAAAGCTGGGGAGGAGGAGAATAGTCCTTTGGAATAAACTAATTTTATTTTAAATGAAATTTTTAAATGCAAGAGGGGATAAAAGGGTACTTCCAATGGGTTAGAGTTATCCTATCAAATATGAATAATTCTACTTTCTTCCTGACCACTTCTACTAAACAGTTGTAGAGCATTGATAAGACAGACCAATGGACCAGAATTTAGTAGGTCTGACTTCTGGCTCTAGCTTCATGAATGTTTGAACATACTGGCTAGCCATTTAAACTTATAGAGTTATTTCTCTACCTGTAGGATAAAGGGAGTGGATAAATTAATCTCAAAGTTCTTTCCCACTACTATACAAAACTTTAATTCTGATCATCCTTTTTCTTTAGTATGTGTCTGCATTTCCTGTTTGAAGCTGTGTCTCCCTAGGCTCTGAATGACTGATAAATTTTAAATCCCCAGAATAGAAGATGACAAACTACTTGGCCTTTGAAGAACTCCTAGGAGCTTCACAAACTCATAAGTATTTCCTAAGAAGGCAGAGAAGTCAAACACACGGTTTTCCTTTTCTCTAAACAGGTTCTCTCAGATAATCGGGATTTCTTCAACAATAATGCATAATTATCCCAAATGCTCACAGCAGAAATTGTGGGACCTTTTTCATTTATTTAAATATGTACTTTTTAATTACCAGCAGGAAGTACAAATGTGTGGAGAAGCATTATTAAATATGATTTCCTTTGTGGTGGCTATTTATTTTGATATAATCATTCACTGCTTATTTTTGGAAAATCCACTCATCAGATATTTCTTGGGCTTTCTTTAAGCTCCAGGTACTGTTTTAGACAGATAGAGAGCCCTGGATGAGGCAGAGAGAGTCTCTACACTTTTAAGATTTGTGAAAAGTTATAAATATCAGAACTAGGATAAATAAAATATTGCCTGGAGGCTAAAGGCATGTTTTTATCAGTTATTTTCTAATTTTTTAGGAGATTACTTACCTGCCAGTTAGCAGAAACAGTACCAGTTAAGTCCAGCTACTTATCTCATTCCACCATACCTTGCTGTCACATCCATTCACTCATGTGCTTGAACTCTTCTTTTCTTCATTTCAATGAAAATGTATAAATATATATGTGTATGTATATACACATACATATACAATGGAACTATGTAAGAGACATTAAGAAACAAGGCAGAGGAACCAGCAGGTGGCATAGTGGTTAAGGCATTGGACTCCCACATGGCTGACCACAGTTTGAATGTCAGACCCAGATGCTTGAAACACACCAGGTGAGTGTGTGTTCATGCCCAAAATCCTGAGAAAAACATGAAGGAGAAGGGATTGCAGTGTGGCCATCTCTCGCACTCCACAGAGGGGTGAGTTCTCTCTCTCTCTCTGTCTCTCTCTGCGCCCTATAGCAAAAATCTCTCTCAAAAAAAAAAAAAAAGAGAAAGAAAAGAAAGAAAGAAAGAATAAGAAGGAAAAAGAAAAAAAAAGAAGAAAGAAAGAAAGGAAAGAAGGAAGGAAGGAAGGAAGGAAAGAAAGAAAAAAAGAAAGAAGGAAGGAAGGAAGGAAGGAAGGAAGGAAGGAAGGAAGGAAGGAAGGAAGGAAGGGAGGGAGGGAGAGAGGGAGGGAGGGAGGAGAAAAGAAACAAGGCAGAAATGGGGAAGGGAGGGAGGGAGGGAGAGAGGGAGGGAGGGAGGAGAAAAGAAACAAGGCAGAAATTGTGAGACAACAGATAATTGCATATTGTGGAAATAGAAAATATTGAGAGGAATAGGGATTAGGGGATGGAGTGATGTTGATTGACAAAATTACACACAGATAAAAAGGATAATTTCTAATAAAATACAGTAGGATGAAAGTAGCTAATAAAAAATTACTTTGTATCTCCAAGTAACTATAAAAGGAGGATTTGAATGTTCTCACAATACTGACAAATAGCTAAGATGATGGATATAGGAATTACCTTGATTTAATCAATACACATTGTATTTTTGTGTTGAAAAATCATACTGTAACCCACAGATAAGTTTAATTGTTATGTGTCAATAAAAAGGAAAAAGAATCAAATTTCTCCATCCCAAAGTGTTATTATCTCTTCTTATTCCATTGCAACTTATGGCTTTTATTTCTTTGACCTCTTGTAGTGTAGCCCTTAATTTTTCCCATTGGAACATTGCTTACCTTTCTTCCTCTGAACTCAATGAGAGAACCAAAACATCTATTTTAAATGATTAACATTAGTTTAAATGATTTAAACTAATTTTTGCATTATTAAAATATCAATGCTTTCTCTCTCTACAGCATTTCAAAACCAAATATGTTTCATGGGTTACTTCAGGGTAAATTCCTTAAAGGATCTCATTCATAACAGCCTTCAAAGAAGTCTTAACTGTTAGTATATATTCATGTACTCGTTTCTAAATTTTATTCTTCTTGATTACATTTTTTATATTTTTATTTTTCAATAATTTTTATGTTTACATTTAATCTTCCAACTTTCTGAGATTTTTGCATAAATTTTTTAGTATTTAGTTTTTTATTTTACTAAGAAGAAAAATAAAATAGTGCACTCACCAAAGAGAGACAGTTAAAAAATATCTCCCAGTCTCTCCCTTCTTCTGGAATTGTGGACCTGAATCTGCAACCAGTATGTTTCTGAAGCTGTTGGATCTGGGTCTCAAACTGTATTGTCAGCCATTAGGGATCCAGCAGCCTTAACCGTCAGACTACAGGCTGTATTTTTGTTTTTAATCTTCATTTTTTAACTAAATTCCTTCAGTTTATTTTATGCATTTTTCCAACTGATTAAATTACCTGATAACTTCATGTGTTTGAGCAAATGAGAGTATTCCTTCTGAGTGCAGCTTTATTCATACTTCATTCATCTTTTTACCCCAATTTTACATTATTTGCAAACACTCTACCACCAATTAAAGATTTGCTAGCAATCTATTTTAAATTATCAGCATTTAACACATTTTTTTTAATGAGGCTAAGTTCATTCTTTCTTTCTTTGCTTTCAGGTCACTTCAGAGTCTTCTTTTTTATTCAATGGACCAAGTAAATGACTCTGTGGTAACTGAATTTGTGTTACTGGGACTTGCACCTTCCTTGGGGATGCAGTTTTTCCTTTTTCTTGTTTTCTCTTTATTCTATGTAGGAATTATCCTGGGGAATCTCTTTGTTGTGTTCACAGTGGTTTTGGATCCTCACTTACACTCCCCCATGTACATTCTACTGGCCAACCTATCACTGATTGATATGGGCCTCTCATCTACCACAGTTCCTAGGGTGATTTCGGACCTTTTCACTGATTATAAAGTCATTTCCTTCCACAGTTGCATGATACAAATATTCTTTATCCATGTTATGGGAGGAGTTGAGATGGTGTTGCTCATAGCCATGGCATATGACAGGTACACAGCAATCTGCAAACCTCTCCACTACCTATCTATTATGAATCCCAAAATGTGTGTGCTTTTGGTGGTAGCTGCTTGGGTCATTGGGGTAATCCATGCTGTGTCTCAGTTTGTTTTTGTCATAAATTTACCCTTCTGTGGCCCTAATAGTGTGGGGAGCTTTTATTGTGATCTTCCTCGAGTTATTAAGCTTGCATGCATGGACACTTACAAATTGGAATTTGTGGTCACAGCCAACAGTGGATTCATATCGATGGTCACCTTCTTTTTCTTAATTGTTTCATACATTTTTATTCTGGTCACTGTCCGACAACATTCTTCAAATGATTTATCCAAAGCATTCTTCACTTTGTCAGCTCACATCACTGTGGTGGTTCTGTTCTTTGCCCCATGTATGTTTCTCTATGTGTGGCCTTTACCTACTAAGTCACAGGATACATTTTTTGCCCAATGGATACATTTTTTGCCATTGTGGACTTTGTTGTCACCCCTGTCTTAAATCCTGCTATCTATACTTTAAGGAACAAAGATATGAAGATGGCAATGAGAAGAGTGAGTCGACAAGTTGCAAGTGCTAGGGAGATGACATAACGAATTTCATCCTTAAGAGCACTGTAAGAACATTGCAGATTATCAAGACCCCTATAATCACCATGAACACTATGGAATGTATATATTTTTATTATTGCTTTGGAAAAACTGAGAAATTTGCAGAAAATGATGTATTGAATCTAAAAAATTCTTTTCAGATGGAATTGCAGCAATTTTTGTTAGCTATAAAAAAGTGTTATATATTTCTATCTAACCTGCATACATAGTAATCAGCAAGTACTACATTTAATTTTCATGTTCATATCAGTTATTTGATATCTACATATAAATACATTCATATATATATAATTTCATTTTATTTATCAGTATCTTAATACTGATGGTAAGGATTACTGGAAACTAATAAATATTTCTTATGGAAATTACATGGATCCAATGGATGAAATTTGGGTTTATATAAACCAGTAAAGATTCAAATCAAGGCAGAAACAATTCTTATCCTATTTGTACTTTAAGTTCAATAAATAAGAAAATCAACACTATGGGGGCTGGCAGGTAGCATAGTGGTTAAGGGCTCTGCACTCCCACATGGCCGAACATGATTTGAGTCCCAGACCTGGAGTCTAGCTTTCTCACTTTCTCTTTCTCTTCTCTCTCTCTCTGTCCTCTCTCCTTTCTCACTCTGTCCCTCTCTCTGATCAAATTAAAATAAATAAAGTTAAAAAAAATGTTTTTTTTTTAAAAAAAGAAAATGAACACTATGTTTCCATTTTTTTTTTTTTTGAAATGGTTTTTGCTATAGGGAACGTGCACTCAACAGACAGACAGAGAGAAACAGAGAGACAGAAAGTGAAAAATCACCCCCCCCAGGGGGGATGGCCATTCCAGGCCCAAGATGGAAACCACAGTCGACTACATGGGAGTCCAGTGACATAGCCATCATGCTAACTGCTCGTCCCTAACTATGTTACCATTCTTAAGTATTGTTGTCAGTTTGATTGTCAACATATTTTGTACAATGTTATTTAGAAATAAACTGTAGTTCTTTGCATTACACAAAATTTGTCTATGTTCCACTCTTTTTTCTTTACTCATGATCAAGCCTATGCACACAGGTAAGAATAAAAGTGAGCAAGAGAGAAAGAGATGAGCACCTTCCACAGGGTCTACTCATGCCACCAAGTCCTTCCTCCAGTCTTCTAGCTCCTTGGATCCTGGGCACTCATGCACGTGTCTGGTGGGTTTCAGGTTGACCCCAATAGAGATCAGAACAGGAATCACCATGTGCGATCTGGCTTCTCTTGAGCAGTACACTACCACTGCACCAAGGAGCTTGCCCCTATATTCTACAATTCTAACGCCACAATTCCTTTTCCCTTGTAGTCTTCCACAAGTATTTCTTTTTTATTTTTTAAGAGAAATTTTTGCTATTGGGCATATGCACTCATGGAGAATACTAACACCACAATTCCTTTTCCCTTGTCTTCCACAAGTATTTCTTTTTTATTTTTTAAGAGAAATTTTTGCTATTGGGCATATGCACTCATGGAGAGACAGAGACAGAGAAAGTGAGAAATCACCCTCTCACCTCAGGAAGATAGTCATGCTGCAATCCCTTCTCCTCCATTCTTCTTTCAGGATTTTGGGCAGGCACACATTTGTGCCCAGAGTGAGCTTCAGACTGCCATGTCTGGAACTCAAACTGCTGTTGGCCATGTGACGTATGTCCAGTGACATACCCACTACACTACCTGCTGGCCCTCGAAGTATTTTTTTAGTCACTCTGAAAGAAAGCACCTACAATTCTAAAAGTATTTGAAGGGACTTATTTCCTAAAGGAAGGTACCCCATTAAGATCTCAAAAACTTATATAAAGTGCCTGCTCTTAAGTAGGGACTTAGAACAAAGACGATTGACATCTTTTAGATAAAAATTTGAAATGCCTGGTAGTCAGGGAACATGTTGAGACATTACTTATATGCATTTGTATGACTGACTTAGATGTTACTTACAGTAATTCAGCTCATTTTTGACTACTGCATGGTAGTTAAAGCTGCAAAATAAAATGGTAAGTGATAAGAAGTAAGGCTTTCTTATTGGCCAAGGTATTTTTCTTAATTTACTTCACAAATTGGTCACCAATTTCCTAAGTTATTCTCTTTTTATAAAATCTAAACTTTTTTTACTGCCTTATAAACTTGTCTGGATTTTAATTTTGCAACTTTATCTTATTTGTTTTAATTTTTTATAATATCACCTTTAGATTCAATGACATGGTACAAATAGCTAAATGGGTCAAAAAACTGTGGTAATATTTTTTTAACTCAAGAAGAGTCTCTGTGTTTCTTCCAATAGCCATGGGAAAACGTGTGAGACTATAAGAGTTAGCCTCAGTACTCAAAGCTCAGGCTGGCTATTCCGAAATCACTTCACTCACATCTGGTCATTTTCATAAAGGGCTTTTAATTGACTCAGTAGTTTCTCTAAGGGGAACAATTCATATAAATTTTGCTTTCTTCAAAACTTTATACATCAAGAGACTCCAAATTAAAAGGAAATCTGTATTTCTCTTATTCTGAATATTGCTATAGTCCCTTCCAGTTATGAAGGAGGTAAGTAGAGTGATGAAACTGAAATATATTAGTAGAAGTAACTAAATTATATCATTTTAATGGCAGTGAGATCCTTCTACTTGTAGGAATGTATCCTGCACAATTCAATTATATGTTTATCTTCAGGGTAAACGAAATTTTAGAGTTGACTTAAATATTCAAAGACTGATATCAATGTTAGCAAGGATAGCATTTGTATAATTGTTAGGCTAGAATTGATTGTCAAGTTCTTCTCTTGACTCTTCTGGTTAATCTATTCTTTCCTGTCTGTTTAGTGGTCCTCTTCTCCATCTTCCCCCAAATTCAGTGTTTTCTTGCCCACCCTCTCATCTTCTTGTAATCTCAATGAAACATGGTTTGGGACATTTCTTTTATGTAAAGGTGTAAATCACACTGTTAGAGCTGTAGGGATTTGAGAGCTTTTGAGAACTTTTGATTGAATAAACTTCAAGAAAGGAAAATTGGGCCAGCCAGTGGTATAGTGGTTAAAGACCCACAAAAATGACTACATAGTTGAGTCCTAGACTTAGTGACTTGAAACATGCCAGGCATGTGTGTATAAAGATGCCTGAAATCCCTAAAGGAGAAACAAATGGAGAAGGGATTGAGGTGTGACCATCCCCCATAGGGGGTACTTTCTCACTTTTCCTCATTCTCTCTCTGTCTCTCTCCAGCAAGTGCAGATACCCTATGGCAAAACGAAAAACAAAAACAAAAACAAAAAAAAAGCAAACAAAAACAAGAAAACCAAGCTGCTAAAATTTTGAATGACATGGGTCCAGCAGATGGTTTAATGGCTATGTCACTGGACTCCCATGTATTCACCCATGGTTTGAGTCCTGGACCCGGTGGCTTAAACTCACACCTGGCTCATATACGTGAGTGCCCAGGATCTTGAGAGGAGAATGGAGGAGAAGGGATTTTTTTTTGAATGACATACCCATAAAATCACACAGATAATTTTTATTAGAACCCAAGTCTCTGACTTTCATCTCAGTGAAACTGATAAAGAGTTATCTTTCTTTAAATAAAGGTAGAAAATGTTGGGAAAAAAAAACATAAATTTTAAGCTGAATCTAGTACATGGAAAATAATTTTCTTTTTCAGTTGGAAAAAAAAAAACATAAATTTTAAGCTGAATCCAGTACATGGAAAATAATTTTCTTTTTCAGTTGTGGCTAACTCTTTATTGCTACAATTAGCATATCAGATTCTGAAAAATGCCTCAACTAACTGACACTTAAAGTTTAACGTAGGATTAATACAATTCTAAAATGGCTGGAATCCTTTTGAAGAGTAGGAAAAGACTTTGGAAAGGATTATGATGGTGAAAGGTTCTCTGTAGCTGATGATTCTATAGTATCACTCTCTCCTCAGCATCATAAACTCAGTAGATGAGATTTTAACTCAATGAGGAAGAAAAGTCTTGCTGAAGAGTAACAATTCTGAATTCCTACTTACTACCATGAGAGAAATCGTTTTGCTGGAAGTGAGAACTGTTGGGTCATCCTTGTTATGTTTCCTATGGAGATAAAATTTCAAGTTTGTTCGTTTCTACCAATAAAATTAAATAGCTTCATATCAGTAAATATCTAAGGTAAACTCTAACCTGCATATTTTTCAAAAGAAACACCCAGTCACTTCAGAAATTATCTGACAATAGGTATCCTATTTTCTGTGTTGTCAATGATTAGTATATTTGTTACTGTACTAAGCAAAAGGAAACTAAAGATGAATGTTCTTGACTTATTTTATTATTGGACTTCTCTTTATTCTTGAAAAGAAATTTTAAATCACTGAATTTTTACAGGACTTTGAAAACTCATGTGTTATTTGAGTTGGTAGGGCTAAGGAACTGGATTCAGAATAACAAAGAGAAAAGGATATTTTCCAAAGACTGTGGAATAACTGTGATTAAAGAAATCACAAAAACAAGTAACGGTATTCCTCCAAGTAATTTGGCATGTATAATTCTCTATTCCTTCATGTCTCCTACGGGATCTCATCCATCAATTTCCTCATCTCTCTTTCACATTGTACTTTGTTAACTCTTACACCTAATCCAATAAGTATTCTCATGGCTGTGCTTTTACCTTTAGAGTATCTTTCATTTGCTACTTCACTTCACTGCAAAACTTTTTTAGACATTGTCTCTTTTCTCTCCTCAATACACAATAGAGATGGCTTTCTCAACTCACATCCAACAATCACTGTTCAGTCTCTCACACAGCAGATAGGAACTTAAGAAGATGCCCCAACAACACTTCTACATTTCAATAGTATGTTTTACCTCCTTATTAATTTATTTCTGCTCCTAAAATTTATCTGTATATTACATATTGTTATGCTACTGCTTGTTATATCAGAGTTAAACCATCACAAAGCTCTTAATTACTTGTAATAAAAACATTGCTTTTTTTTATATCCACATCCTCCTTAAAATTTTTCTGTTAACACTACCTTTATGATATCTATTCTGTATTGACCACTTATTACGTGCTAGAAAATTCATCTAAGTGGTTATAATCAATCCTTGCAGCACCCAAATAAAGCAGTGCTCTTATCACCCATCTTTTCCAGATGTCTATAAGACTCAAAATATTTAAGTAACTTGCCCAAGGCCATCAGCTACATAGTAGATAAAACCAGGATTTGAACCCAGATCTTTAAGAAAAAAGCTGATATTTAATTAGAATAATTATATGGACCCTCAGGATTTTTCACTAGCCTCATTCGTACACACACATCCACAGCCTACAGTTATTACCTATTGTTAGGCTTAAAATAATCATGTGGCTTTCCTTTAAGTACCTTCTTTTCCAAGTCACATTGAGGTTAGAGTTAGTTTATTAAACAGATGTTCATAATTCTTCAATAGTTCATTGTCTTCATAATAAAACATAAATCCCTTAACAGCCATTCTACAATCTCTTTCCAATGTCTCCTCCTTTTCAACTCCTTTACACTTCCTCTCATGTAAATTTTATTGCATTTTATTCACTTTTTCTCAATCCACATTTGAACTGCCAATTCTTTTATCCTTTCTCACTATTTTGGGTCTTATTTCTAAATCTTATTTTTTTCCATTGTTCATATTTTTTACATTGGCATATCAATTTTTCTCCAGAGAACTTTAATATCACTAAATAATATAAGATATATAATATGAAATTTAAACACTCTTGAAGTTTAGAGGAAAAAAAGAGCTAAATGTAGGATTATGATTTAGAATTAATTTAGCAGAAAAAGCAGTATAAACAATAGTATTTTATTAGAAATAACAGACATTTCTGTTATTTATGAAAAATAACAGTTGTTTGAGTGGAGACATGGAGATAGTTTGGATAACTAGAATTTAAGACATCCCCTGGAAAGTATATGGGATAAAAGTATTAGTTTAGTTTATTAAATTCTGGAAGACTTTATGCAATGAACCATAGAAAAGCATTATAAGTGGGAGAAGAATGCCCCATGTTTACGGTACCACTATTCACAATAGCCAAGATATGGAATCATTTCAGGTGACTGTTGATGGATAAATGGATAAAGCAAAGTGGTATAATATGATCCAGCAATTCCACTCATGGGTATCTGTACAAAGTATAGGAATGAATTCAATCAGAAAAACACTTGCACATCCATGTTTATTGTGGCATTATTCACAATTGCTAAGACATGGAACCAACCCAAATCTCCACAAATAAATGGATTGAAAAGGTGTGGTACATACACACTATGAAGTGCCACTCAGCCATTAAAAAAAACAATGAGACCTTAGCATTTGATAAAAAGTAGTTGAATATGGAATATTTATTCTAAGTGAAGCAACCCAGACTATGGAAGAGAGGCTTTGTATGTCCCCACTTAATATATACTGGATGTCTGCACTTGATGGCAGAAACAGAAAGACTGGAAAATATGAAGTCATGGAGAGCAACTGTGAATGCCAGAGACAGGGTGGGAGGAGGGTGGGAAATGAAGAAGTGTATGAGGGAGGGAATCAAGAGGAAAAAGAAAGAAGCAAAATATTCAAGAGACACAAAAATGGAAAAGTATCTGCTGATGATAACATGTATGGTAATATCTTTGCTTGAACCCATATACAGTGCATTCAGAACATTCAGGTATACTGTAATGATACATAGTGATTGAAAGTAAAATAATAATAAATAAATAAGTAGTATATATACTTATTTAGCTATTAAAAAAGAAAGAAGTACTGTCATCTACAGCAATATGGAAGATTCTGAGAATATTAGGTTATAATCTGAAATAAGGCAGGCATAGAAAGATGAATACTTCATGATTTCACTCATACATAGAGGTTAAAAGAAAATTGATCTTATAGAAGCAGAGAGTAGAATAGTGGTTACCAGAGCTGAGAAGTGTAGCAAAGAGAGAAGAATAGAGAAGAGTTGGTTAATGGATACAAAGATATAGTTAGATCAGAGAACTGAGTTCTAGTGTTTTTATAGTACAGTATGACTACAGTTAACAGTTTATTATATGTTTTAAAGTAGCCAGAAGAAGAATTGTGAATGTTCCCAAAAGAAGGTTATGACAAATGCTTGAGGTTATAGATATGCTAATCACTCATTTTGATCCTTATACATTGTATATGTGTACCAAAATACCATATTGTAGCCATAAATATGTACAATTAATATGTGTGAATTGAAAATATTTTAAAGAGTGAGTGGCATAATACAAAATGAGGTTTCTAATTTGAATATAATAATTCTGACTTCTATCTTATTCTCTTCTCTAGGTAACTGCAGAGACTATTTCCTGGAATGAATCCATAAGTGAAATAAATCACTCTATGGTGACTGAATTCATTTTTCTGGGACTCTCTGATTCTCAGGATCTCCAGATTTTCCTATTTGTGTTCTTTTTTGTATTTTATGTAGGAATTGTGTTTGGAAATCTTCTCATTATCATAGCTGTGGCTTCAGACCCTCACCTTCACTCCCCCATGTACTTCCTGCTAGCCAACCTCTCACTCATTGATCTGTCTCTGTCTTCAGTCACTGCTCCCAAGATGATTACTGACTTTTTCAGTAAGCACAAAGTCATCTCTTTCAAGGGCTGTCTTGCTCAGATATTTCTCCTTCATTTCTTTGGTGGAAGTGAGTTGGTGATCCTCATTGCCATGGCCTTTGACAGATACGTAGCCATCTGTAAACCCCTCCGCTACACTACAATCATGTGTGGCAATGTATGTGTTGGTATTGTGTTTGCTGCATGGGGAATTGGCTTTCTCCACTCAGTGAGCCAGTTGGCCTTTGCAGTGAACTTACCCTTCTGTGGCCCCAATGAGATTGATAGCTTTTACTGTGACCTTCCTAGGGTAATTAGACTCGCTTGTACAGATACCTACAGGTTAGGTATCATGGTTATTGCTAACAGTGGTGTGCTCACTGTGTGTTCTTTCGTTCTCTTAATCATCTCCTACACCATCATCCTGAAGACCATCCAGCACCGTCCTTCGGATAGGTCGTCCAAGGCCCTATCCACTTTAACTGCTCACGTCACAGTAGTTCTTCTGTTCTTTGGACCCTGTATCTTTATTTATGCCTGGCCATTTCCCATCAAGTCATTAGATAAATTTTTTGCTGTATTTTATTCCGTGGTCACTCCTCTCTTGAACCCAATTATATACACATTGAGGAACAAAGACATGAAGACTGCAATGAGAAAGCTGAAAAACCGCAATGTGAATTCTAGAGTAAAATCTTAGATCTTTTATAACTGAGGTTAATAGGAGATAATAAAATAATACATAACAAAGTCAGTAAATTATTTAGTAAAGCTCATGAAGATGGCTACTTCCTTTATCATACCGCTTAGTAACCATGAAAAAATTTTTATATATACTGTCTCAATTTATCTTTCAATAACTTTGATGGATATAGATGCAAAACTAATACCAAGCTTTCAAAATATCATCTCACTAATCCTCAGAACAACAGGCACAAATATGTTAGTATTTATGAACACTTATGCATTCCTGGGTGAATCAGAGTTTATTAAAGGAAGGGATATAAACTAACCTGGCTTATAAATTTTTTAAATTTTATTTTGTTCATTTTGCTTTAAAAAAAATCAATAAGGAAACTGTCATGTAGAAAGTCAGATATTTTGTGTTAGAACACAAAAATATGCAGTGATAAGAATATATATGTCAACTTTTCAATAAGGAAACTGTCATATAGAAAGTCAGATATTTTGTGTTAGAACAACAAAGTATGCAGTGATAAGAATATATATGTCAACTTTTATATTTTAAAGAAGAAAACTCATCCCACTGGAACAGTTTACAATTCACTTTCTTCCATTAAAACAACCCATAGTCCATGAGGGCATTATCAGGAGTAATAAGAAGAGTATCTGCCTATATGAAATTTGCCTTGAAGGTACAAGACATCGTGGTATATGATACCGTCCTTAAGAAGCAAAAATAATTTAGGGAATTTGATCTCTCACATTTTGTTCTAAATGTATCACTGGGCCTATCTCAGTCGCTGCACATGGTTAGCTGTTCAGAACACAGGCTCTAAGGTCATAAAAAGCTATATCCAACTCTACTTTCCCTTACTAATCAAGACTTTAGGTATATTGCTTAACTTTCATAAGCTTCGGCTTCCACATTTCAAAGGGAAACAATATAATATTTATTATCTACGGCTATGGTGAGGGATAAATAGATCATAGATACTCAAATAGCACAATTTGTGACACATTCAGCTATGAATATGTGAAGGACTATTATAATTATTACGTGAATCCTGTATATCAACAAAGCCAAAAGTTGTGAACTTTTATTTTTCTACAACATGCTTGAACCTATGACACATTCTGACGTTGGCATATGCTCATTTGGTGCATTACAGTTGTTAGTGAAAGTATGTATATTTATGTGCAAGTGCATGATTACAGAATCACACGCTATCATCCAAGGAAGCCATGCTAAAATTTCAAAATAGAAGTAGAACGACAGGCTGAAAGAAACTTGACAAGTTATTCTGTCAAATATATCCTCTGTCCAGTGAGAATCATTGAACCAGGACAAAAATTGAAGAGTAAATATTCTAAGGGAAAAGAAATAAAGTTTGTCAAAATGTGGCTTAAATTAATAGAAAAGAGTCTGATGGCAAGAAAGTTCAATTTATTCTTACCCCAGGAAAAACAGAATAAGAAACCCATAAGTAGACTGAAAATACGTAAGAAAATAAGTATGATGGCAGTATCTGAAATTAAGGAGGAATGTTAAGGACCCACAATGTGCACGAACAGATGAATGGATTAAAAAAACTGTGGCACATAAACATTATGGGATACTACTCAGCCATAAAATCAGGACCCTGGCATTTGACAGAAAGTGGAGTGAAGCAAGCCAGATTAAGAAAGAGAGACATTGTATGTCCCCACTTCATATATATCAAATGTCCACACTCTATGGCAGAAACTGAAAGACTGGAGGCTATAGCAGCATGGAGAATGGCTGCAGATACTAGAGACAGTGTGGGAAGAGGGATGAGAAAAGGAATCAAGGAGAAAAATATAGAGGCAAGACATTTAAGGGACACAGAAACGGAGATTGTCTGCTGATGATGTGTATGACAGTATCTTTGACTGGATTGGTGTATAGTCTATTCATGCTGGGAAAATTTATTTTACAAGCTGTGGTGATATACAGTGGTTGAATGTACAAAATGAATTTTAAAATAAAATAAGTTAGTAAAATTGATTAACAAAATAGGCCAGTAGGTGGCATGGAGGTTAAGGTGCTGAATTCCACATTACCAACCCTGAGATTCAAGTCCAATACCAGACCCAGGGCTTGAAAATTATGCTGAATACATGTACATATTCGTCCAAAATCCTAATAGAGAAGGGATTGTGGCATGGCTATCCTTCCTATGGGGTGATTTCTCACTTTCCTTATCTGTCTCACTCTATCTCACTCTGGTGAGCTCACACACCCTACAGCAAAGCTAATAAATAATAACAATGATGATTAACAAACTAATAAAAGTGGTCCAAAAACATGGATTTACAGTTCATACATAAGGAGATGCAATCTTTAAATATGTGAAAAAAGTTTGAGGTCTCTCATGTTAAGATAAATACAAGTATATAAAATGATACTTAAATATCAGTTCTGACAAATAAGATATCAAATATCTGACCCCTGTATTTGTTTTTTGTTGTTTGTGGTTGTTGTTTTATTTTATATATAATTTTTAAATTTATTTATTTACATTGATTCACTATAAATCATTACAGCATACAAAATGAGATTTTTCCATCCAGATTGCACTGTATATTGGCTCAATCAAGCACATCAAAATATGTGTTATTGTCAACAAATAATTTTCCATTTCTTGTTTCC